TATAAATACATTATGAAGGGGGAAAATTAGTCATATGAGCATATAAATAATAGCTCAATTACATTCAAGAATATGTGGGTGGATGTCCTGGGTGGAATAATTTGCTAAAGCACAGTTCTTCTTCCTTGCTTTTCCTCTTCCTCTTAATTTATTCCTCTTTCTGAATACGTGCTTCTTCTTTTTAACCTTTATTTATATCTTGCTTTTTGTTCTTTAATCTTGGTGATCTTTCTATAATGGGTCTATACACATTTTTCTTTAGAATTGGTATTTTCAATGGATACCAACTCAGTGTAAAGTGCTTAAGTGTATACCTAGTCTCTGGTACACACTTCTGTTTTCCTGATGTCAAGAAAATGTGTATTTAAAATCAAAGGAATGCTTAACAGTTCTGCTGTGCAAGTCTCGGTATGGTTGTTTTCACCATCTTAAGCACGGTACTGTACAACCTGCTGCAACATCAAAGACCCCTCCTTCCTTCTTGCCTTTTCCTTAGACATTTCTGCTCTTGCATTTTGCTGCTTGTTTTGATTTTGTTTTGATTTCACTCTAAACTGATGCTGACACTTAATAAAATTCTCCAACATTTAGATTTCTGTCAAGCCTCCTGGCTGATCAAGGCTGTCAAGCTGATCAGCCTACTGATTCAGATCCAGGAACCAGCCGCTCTAGCTGCTTCTTTTTGTGCAGCTTGGCAGCAGTGAGGAATCTGAGAATCGCTGTAACCATGCCTGGCTTCAGAGCAAGACTCAGCAAGGATCTGGAAGAACTAACCACCTGAGACATGTGGTTACTGCACCACACAGAGTAACAGTGAACTGGAGCTGTGTGAGAGCATTCCCGGTATGTTCCCACTGCCCTTGCCTGCAAGAAGGGCAAAGGAAACACTGGACTTTGCTCGGGATTGTGCTGGTCTCATACCACCTTCCTAAGTGATAAATGAGTTACTGTGTGTTGTGCATATCTTCCTCTCAGGTTGTTTTTTCTGTTCGTTGATTTGTTTTAATTTTTTTATTGGGTGATAATTACATCACTGCACTTAATGTCGTTTGTCCTGGTGTCCCATAAATACAAATATATTTACCCCCAAGAGATGCTGGCAATATTTGTGAGAATACATCCAGAGCCAATATTTAACCTTGTACCTGAGCAGATCATGACCTGACATTTATATGCGCTCAGTTTGAAAACACTGAGTAACAGTAACAGTATCAAAACAAGAAAGTCATAGCTGTGCTTTCACTTTAAATCTGGGATCTTGTGCCAGGTGTTGGGAAAACATTCCAAATTCTACAATGTCAACAAAAAGATTTTTCCCAGCCTCAGTGGAGTTTTGATTGTGTCTCTCGCTGAAGGCAGGGTTGGCCCTTTCACCAGAAGAATGGACTGGTAGCCCTCTCCTTACTTACATGGTTATGCATGGAGAGGTTTCAAATCCAAAAGATTAAAAGTGACTCCAAAGGTAGTTTTGCACAGCAGCAATTTCTCAGGCTCTGGCAGCAAACCTCAAAAGCTCCTGAATGAAGCCTTCCAGAGGAAAAGAAAAGCAAGGACTGACCAGAGCCTGAGGATCTGGCAAGCAAAACTTCAGAAGTCTTTTTTTTTTTCAAAGTTTCTTTGCATACTCTTAGCATCTTTTCAACCTGTTCTAGCATAGGAATCTGCTCCTACTGCTCCTAATTTCCATATTTTGAGAGTCCTTCTTTCACTATTTAGAATATTCCAGGTTTACAACTAATTGTGGGTAAAAAAAATCCTTTGGTAGATGGAACAGTAGGAGATAGCAAAATGCTCTCATTTCCTGGCTCTTTCGAGGACAGTAACCCATGGCCAGACAGGCTGTCTGAATGGTTCTACATGGTGGGGTGATGCACAGTAGCAAATCCTCTCCAGTGTCATTGGCAAAAAGTGGGACTGATGATATTGGGTCACTTCCCACAGGAAGGGCCTACAATGAAGAACATGGTGTTTATCTGACATGAATGGTTGGGAGATTATGTCATTGAAAATGCACTGCACTGCCACACTAACACCTGCTATATCCAAAGTGGTCCCCATTTAGCATTTCTGATGTGGATGCATTGTTCTGTCTGAGTTAGATTGAGGTGATTTAGGGAAGCATTCTGAGTGTTGCTGAGCAGAGATAGCACCACACACGGATATAAAAGCATTGTTAAAAGAAGCTTTATATGGGATGTTCTGCCAAATGGTTCCCTTCCCTTCCTCTTCTCATTTCCTTGTTCTCCTTTAGCCGCTGGAGAATGGTAATCCCTTTATTCACTTACGCGTAAACTGGTGACTTTCCAGACCACAAAAAGACATTTGACTAGGTGGCTTCTCTGAAAAGATGCAGCAGGAGATGGAAATGTCTTTCCTGAAGATTTTAATACTGCTATATTTGTTCTGATAGTCAGAATACGGAGAATCTTGCACTGACAGCTGTAAATAAAAAGGAAAATACTACAGCTGCTTTCATTCTTCCCTCTTACATAAACTTTTTTTTCAATATCTGTTTTTGACCTTTAGAAACAACACATGCACAATGTCTTGCTCATCCCAAGCAGCAAGCTTTGACATTTTGTTCTTAGCACACAAAAAAGCAGGCACACAACTATATCTAAATGGAGAAAGCATTGAGACACCTATGGAGAGCAAAGTCACTGCTGTTCAAAAAATTTCTCAGAATTAAATATGAAAAGGAAAATCTAGGCATTAGAAACCTAAGTCAGGATTTCCTCATCTTGCAGGTACACTGGCTAAAATCCTTTTTCTTCACTCTTTCCTTCCAGCCAAGAATGTCTCTGTCTGTCTGTCTACCCACTGGTTGACTGCTGGACAGTCTATCCCTGCAGCCCATTCCAGAGACTGTTGGCAGGATGAGCAGGGATCATCACCTTTTCTGATGTGGCTGGGCAACATGCAAGAGTAAAGAGGCCCAGGGATGGCTCTAAAGATGGCTCTGAATACTCACAGAAGACATCTGGATTCTTGTCCCTCCACCACAGACTATTTCTCTGCTTTACCTAAGAACGCATTTAGTGTATTGAGGCTGCTGTAATGTTAAAAGAATAGCTAAACTATGGTATTTTTAGGAGATGTGATCCCAAGCCTTGTCTTGTACAACTGTAGGAGTCCTTCTAGTTCCCTAACCCAGACACCGACACAGGGGATGAGCAGCGTCCCTAGAACACCCAATTTCAAGCATTCCAGTCTGCAGATTGGGTTCTTCCTTCTTCCACTGATTCCCTTCCCTCTCCAGTTCTTCTTTCAACCCTCCCTCCATTCATTCTCTCCAACCATCCATTTTCCACAGTATAGCTTCCCTCTGCTTTCACAAGGAATGAAGCTCTGCTCTTGTCAAAGAGCAGTCATCTTTCACCAAGGAAGAGTGTTGGAAGCAGGGTTCCCCAGGTCAACTGGGAATTGCTCTAATTACCCCTAACATGATCTCCCATGTGCATGTCACTACAATTCTCCTTAATTCCAGCAATCCCTCTCTACTGTCTCGGTGGAGCCTTGCTGTATATGACAGAGAAAACTGTTCTGGTGACAACCACTCTTGAGCTCAGCTGCACTCATAACACATGGTTGAAAGTGATTTTTCACTGTCACTTCCTTAAGTAACAGCGGTGGCAAGAGTCTGGTGCTTTCCTCATGCAGCCACAGGGTCAGAACATCTCTATTTTGGCAAAACGTGAAGCAGAAGCACAGTTCTGACACCTGAGAGAAAAAAAAGAAAAGGAAACAAGCCCTTCAAAGTAAGGACAGCTCTTGGACTGTTCTTGAAAGGGCCTGAAACTTGAAAACCCCAAACTGATGGTGAAAAACTACTTCTTTTATGATGTGGGATACTTTGTTCCACACAGTGATTCCTTGTTGTCTTAAAACATGAGTTTTGCATTTCCCAAAATAATATGGGGGAGAGCAGTGCAGAAATGACACATTGCTTTTTTTTTTTTCTAGTGTCTCATTCCATCTTTTCAGCCCAGAATTCAAGGATAGGCTCTGGCCCTCACATAAAAGGTATACAGCAGATGGTTTCATCAAAAGGAAAGTGACTTCAGATTCAGTTTGAAATTTTATTAAAACCATAGGTTTCTGTTCTATACAAAACTGAGGAGATTTCCAAAAGAAAAAAAAAAAAAGTATTAATGACATTGGAAACAGTGCAATATAAGTGGCTTGTTGATAAAAATCTCTGAAAGCTATATACAGGATTAATACTACACAACTGTATTAATGTAGAGACTGTCAGCAACTTTGGCAATATATACAAACTACCTTTACACTCATAAATATCTTATTTACAGCTAATAAATAACATTCAAAGCTAAATCATGTTTCCTTATGAAAAGAACCTTCACTATTTTGCATCCAAATTCTGAATGTGTTTGTATTTGATCCTGTATTAAGAGCTGTCCAGATACTTTGCTTCTGAAGAATTTAACTTTTAAGAGAAAATTGCAACAAAATGTGGAATCTATAGAGAATAAATCACTGTATTTATTTTTAGAGGTCTCAAATGCAGTGGCTCAATACTCAACCCCACCCTCAGTGACTCATCACATCTCTGCTGCAGTTTAATCAAATGTGAAATCAAATGTGAGCAAATTCAGAGCTATTAATATTCCAACATATTGCACTGTTTAAGTCTTTTATCCCCAAATATACTAGCAGCTACAGTTGGAAATAAGAAACAAATTGTGCACACAAACACATACATTTTTTTCTTTTCTTTTAAGATGGGATGGTATTGGAGAAATCACCATCTCCGTGCTGTCTTGCATATGCAGGAAAAGACTACAACGCCCAGCAGCATCAACAGCTAACATTACACTTCTCCAAATGTCTACCTTCAAGCCCTTGTACCTCCCCAGCATTTTGTTTACTCTCTAGAAAGTTAAAAGAGGGCTATTGCGCCTTTCAGCACACTAGAAAAATTATATGTTACTTAAAAATGGGGAGGCAGACTGCCTTCAATATACCTATTTTTTTTTTTCTTAATTGCAGCACGGCTAATTTAAATGTTTTTCAGAGCACTCCTTCTTGTGGAGCACACAACCAGGCTGCTTTTAATTGGCTCAGCTCCTGCTTCCTGCTGAATTCCATCTCATGGCAGAAAACTAAGCAGCTCCTAACACTGTACCACAGCCAAGAAACAAACTGAGGTGGATCTGGCAGTCACAATCCCAGTACAGAGAAGTATGAGCATCCTTGTCAGCTATCAAGTGGATTCACTTGCACTGAAAACTGCATACAGGAGCCATGCAGCTGCATGACTGACACTTGGTGTCAGAGAGCAGAGAAACTGTGACAGTTTTGGGATACATGACGCAAGCAAGCAGGGAGAGGGTGGAGGGTGGGGGAAAATATCTGTTTCCTGCATTTTCTCATAGCTCAATTCCTCTGCAGCTCCATTTTCACAGCATTGCAGGCTAGACAGTTTCATTTGCAATAACTGAAAGCATAGATAAAATATTAAATGTCTGCATAAGACACTGGCATTGCTGCCTTCTCCTAGAGCTGTTACTTATTCCAGGGTAAGCGGCACAGAAGTATATAGCTTAACAGATCATACCTATTGCTAAGCAGCACTGGCATCTACCCCCAATTAAATACATTCATAACCACAAACTAAAAAATTCATCCCCATATTAAGTCAGTCCCTGACACCTTCTAGTATTACACACAGCAAAGGTGTTTTTTTTTCACATGGGAAACCTACTTATTTGCTAAACACACACTTGAAAAACAATGAACTCTCTCCACTGAACTGCCTGAAAATTCAGTTTGTCAAGACACAAAAAAATAGTTTCAAATGACTCATGAAAAGAACAAAAAAAAAATCCGCTAATGAAAAAAAACCCAAAATAAAACAAAATAGAAACTGCAAGATAAAATAAAACCAAGTACAGGGCTTTGTTTCTTTTCAATAAATATTAAAAAATTGCTATATAGGATCTGATGTCAAGAAACCTTGTCAAAAGGCACCACGATTAAGCAAAATTACCTATATCTTTTCAGCACTCCAAACTTTGGCAAGTAGTTTTGCAAGTTTCTTTTGTTTTTAACTATTTGGATAATGTATCTTTATGGTTAGTATCTTCATATGCTGAGACTTTTTTACAAGAAGTCTCTAAAATAGCTAGGAATAGCAGGCAAAAATCCAGCAGCGGATAAATATTTCTATATATTTGGTTCTGAACATCCAGTCGACAGGGATGAACAGACTCTTCTCCCCAGTGTGAAAAATCTTTGTTCTTGTCGTTTAAGCAGATTCATGAGCAGAATTTTCTTTTGAGGCTCTCTTGGTACTGTGGAGAAAAAAATAAAATATAAAGGTGATGAGGAAGATGTAAGATACTTGTTCCCACTTGTCTTATTTTAGAGAATTAAGATTTTAAAACTCCCTACTTAACAGGAAGATAAATTACGTGCTCAGGCTTCTCCTGGCTTCTGCTTGTTTTTATGTCAGATACACACACAGAGGTCTCAAGGCCTGTCCAGGTCATTGCCCCAGAGTAACGGCCAGCACATGTGCATTTTCATGCAGAGCTAGATCTCAGTCCAGAAGTGTCCCCATGAGACCATTCACACACAGTAATGGAACTAAAATAAATATAACCACTTCTCTATCTCAGACTTTAGTGGGTAAAGTCCAAAGACTGTCCCCACATCTAATCTGGGTCAGGAAAATTATTGATAAAGATATTAAAGTGCACTTAAGGGCCATTAAATAAAGGCAGAATCTCTGCTCCATAGAGATGAAACTCTCAGGAATTCACTCACCCGATGGCTACCATCAGAAAGCAGTGTGCTAAGAAGAGCACCTTCATATGCCTGCTCCATTCCTGTACCAGCCTCCAAATGTGATGCTGGCCAGTACGGAGGGAGGGCTCTGAGCTGACCCAGTACGGAGGTTTGAGTGTTCTGCAGCTAAAGGTAAGTGTTGAGACAGAGACATGCTTTCCTCTTTGTGCTCGTGCCTTGTCTGTAACCCTCCCTAACAGTCCCTCATACGTGGCCACCGAGGGACTGTGAGAGGCAGTGACTAGCACTTGCTTCTCTGACATGCCAACAACCACACAAGGATGGTTAGCAGAAGAGTGAGCCAAGAGCTTTTAAGCTGCCAAAGTGGCCATAAGCAAACCTCTGGCTAGTCTGAGCTGTGATGCTTTTGAAGCCCTGAGAAGACTAGTGCACAAGTCAATTAAAAGGGAAGTTTAATTACCACTCAAGTGGTAATAAAACAATGTAAAGCCAATAGTGATTACTCGTACCCGCCTCTCTTCCTGTTGATGGGCTGCTCCGAGCATTTCACAAATACTGCTGCCTCTTCTCCCTTACCGAGACGCGAGGTGCCATCTCGAGAACAGAACACCACTCTGTGGAATAAATATTGGAAAAATCACAAGACTGAGCCAAACATCCCTTTTTAATCTTAGAAAGAAGACTGGTGCTTGGAAACAGTCTTTATACTTTGTCACGTGGGGCACTGCTACTTTGCAGGCCTGTGAGAAAGTTATTTTTAAAAGAGAGTTCTGGAACAAAAGAAACACTGTGCAAGAACTGGTAAAAGAATTATACATGGGCATCAAAGCATAGCCGTAACTTTCACTGATCCTTTGCAAAAATCTTCTTGTGGCTAAGATAGCAGAAGTCCTATCCCAAAGTCTCTTGGATCTTTATTTACACCAGTCTTTACGTGAGTTTTTTGTCAGGTGAATGAACGTGGAAGAAAGCCGTACTCCCTCACATGTGTGCAAACAAAGTAGGTTGCAATTTCCAGAAAACCTGAGCACTCCCTTTTCTATTTATCAGTACTTTCCCCACCCCTATATTTGTTCAGCTCTGATAACTGTTCTTTGATCAAGTGACTGACCTGTTTCTTCAAAGGAGGAGCTTATTATTATTTACTATACTATACATAGGACACACATACTCTGTTCTGAGCCCATGTTCTGCAAACAGATCTCATGTTTAGTGAATATGAGTATTTCAAAAGATTCATGTTGAAGCACTTCTGTTCAGGCTTTGATGTTTCAACATTCACGCATCAGCAATGGCCTGCAACAGTCATGTGCTTCAGTTTTCACCCACCATTCAGGTATTTGACCCTTAAGAAAATCCAACTTAACTAAGCAATAAATTCTTGTGCAAACACACTTTTGGAAGGATCTCTAAAAATTTCCATCTAAGCATGCTTTTTGTCACAAAAGCTATGCAAGAATCAAGCCTGAAAAAGGAGGACAGAAATTCCAAACACAATCACTGATGCTGGCTCATGGAGATACTCTCCTGCATATTATAACTAACCTTAAGTAGATACAATAGTGGGATACAAATTAATTATGAGGAGGAAGACTACAAACTGCAGATCCCAGTGGAAATAAATGACTGAACCTGGCTGATACAAATGGTGGTTTGATACCACTGGAGCCCTGATTATCACTAATGCTGCACCTATTTGTAACTGCTTAACATGTTTGTTCCAGTCTGTGAGATACCAAAAATCAGGAAGTCAATTAGAATTAATACAGCTTATAACAATCAAAACAAGTTACTTTTTCTGAGTTTCCCCTGACTTCATTCTGATTCTCTGGATGTCAAATGTAAAAGGAGTCCACCAGTCTGACCAGCTGAAGAAGGTGTCTTTTTCCCACTGCAGCTTCACCATAAACAGGTCTCCAATATCCACTTCTGTGTAAATGAGGAAGGAGAAGGTCTTGTTTGAGGAAACTTCAGGTCTGTGGGGAGGAGAATAAGAAAACAAATAAAAAAAACCAGCTGAAATTCTTGGACAGACAAAGAAAATTAAGGAGCAATAGAACCTGGAACTTTTGTACTCCAGAGAAGGAATCAAAAACACCTCTACCTTTTGTAAAGACAAAAAGAAACATCCTTCTGTAGCAAGGCTGGTAAAATCCTGCTACAATCTGCCAGGCAAGGGCTGTCCTCGCCTGTGCTGGTGATTCTCAGAAAAGCCAGAAAACCACCACCCATAACCAGTTTACATTCCTCAGAGCAGAACACGGACTTTGGTGTTTCCCAGCTCCATTCCCTGCCAGCCTGTGTCTAGGGAGGTACACACAAACTTCTGCTTATTTGCAGAGCTGTGAAAGAAAATCCCAAGTTTCCCTCAGCTTCTGCACTGAGACCTTCAGACGCATAAGTCTACTTTTAAGAAGATTTAACATGGTATAAAGATACTAAATAGAAAAAAGAAAGCACTGGAAACACTCTTATTAAGCTGTGTCACAGGTCAGACTTCATGTTTCCATATTTCAGATGTCTTATCAAGAAGAGCTCCTGTAGGATTTGGTGCATTAATTTCTAAAGCAAATGCATCTTCTTGATCAAGGACAAGACCAGATTCTGGGACCCTGTAAGATTAGTATAGCTGAAGCCAGAACAAGTTTTTCAGTTGAGACTTCAACAAATTTAGGTAAACTCAACAGTACATTGCAGCTGTTTTTGTAGCTACTCACAGTGTGAAACCAATGTTCTCACTCTTGTCCAGAGTGCCATAGAGAGAGATCAGGAATGGCTGGTTTGTCTTGGTCATGTTAGTCTTTCCAAAGAAATGGATCTTGACCTGGTAATGAAAGACTGAAAGAATACAAAAGAAAATGCCATTAGGAAAACTCAATCTCCAAAGAGACAGCTGGTGACAAAACCACCCTGCCTCACCTATGAAAATCCTAGGCTGGAATTTGCCAACTTCACTAAAATGAGTTTATTTCCCAGCAGGTGTCCAGGGAATTATTTTTGCAAGAATGTAAATATTAGCAAGCAAGGAAATCACCATGAAAGAACACCTTTGCAGTTCTTGCAGCTAAACTTTGCACTCAAACTGCCACTATAATAATCCCAGAGTATGCAGTATCACCTTCAAACATGTAAGACTTACTATACTTGACTTGAAACAAGTGAGCTGTGCCCTTCTCTTACAGGAGGCTTGGTAAAAGGAAAAAAAAAAATCAAACAACAACAACACCAAAAACCAAAATCAACCCACTGACACTGCAGGTTAAGCACCAAGTGCCAAGAGAACACCAGTCTTGCAGTTGCTCTAACAGTGCAGGAATGTGCCTTTTGATTGCTGGTCCATCACACAATGCACACTGTAAGAATACCATGGGGTACAGGCAAAGCTAAGGAGGAAAATAAAGCAGTAAAATCCAATGTTATTTTCCTAGCTGTGAGGAAAAAATTCTCCTCCCAGTTTTCTCTGGCTTTGTCATTCCCACAGCAGCAACTAGAATCAAGAAGGGCTGTGATATTTTAATGAGGGCTGGTGCTTCTCTAGCAAGTGCACTACCAAAGGCACAAATCTGATGCTTGCATATCTTTAACTAAGATGCTCACCAGACTGCATTCTGCTAATTATTTCCCCAACAGAAAGAAGTCACCATTCGGATGAAAAACACCAAAAAAGTTCTAAGTGATCAGGCAGCAGAAGTCATCTAACTTTTGCTACTTATAAACTTGTTACAAAATACCTTTCTTTTTGCACTCTACCCTACACCTTGAGTAAGACAACACTTTTCTCTGAGACTTACATCCAATGGCAAACTACAGGCCAGCTTCACCCCTGCTCACCACAGGCACCAAAGCAGCAATATTCTCATCTGCAGCACATGCCCATCATGACCCACAGCTGAGCACAAGCACCAGTCTTGCTCACCAGTAAGCAAGGAGTACCTACCTTTATAGGGCATCTGAGCACGGGTTTTCAGATACATTTTAGTGTTTCTCTTTGTTCTCACTCTGTTGACCTTGTAGCCCAAATTGTTGCAGCGGTTCTTGCGGCAGCTCAGACAGAGGCCCTTCTCAAAGGCCTCCTTTGTGTTGCAGCGATAAGCCATGCTTGGCTTTTCTTCATTGAGGAGAGAGTCAATGAAGAGGTGGATGGATCGTTCATGGGAGCATTTCACCAGCTGATCCACATCTTGAAAGAATGAAAATGTGTAATATGTATACACGCGTGCATATAATGGCATCAATCCCTAAGCAATACTGTCAACAGGCATGATCCACTACGGCAGAACTGGGCTTTACAGCATGACTTTTAAAAGCACTAGAAAGAACATATTCCTGTGCCTCTCTCAGCTCTTTCTTTGCAAGACACCTTTTGCAGGGCTATTAAGTTTTCCCTCAGAATGTTATACTGTTTGTTTCAGAGCAATCTCACCTCCAAGCCCTTTCTCAGCAATCAGACGCAGTGCTTCTCCCAAATTGCAACCGGGCTGGAATCCTCCACCATTGGGATAAATATCAATGTGTCCAACTGGCTTCTGGATCCCAATGCTGCGGTCTGGAGAGCCTCGGGTGTAGGTGTGTAGGACATCCACAAATTCAGCATCATCCGGGGAGAGGCGAGTGAGTTCATCAGCATACTCAAAGGTAGGACCAGCAGGATCCAGCCCTTTATGGGGCAAACCACAAAGAAAAACTGATATTATTGTCTGCCAAAAATACTGACATTGATAACAAATGCCAAACTCAGCCACCACATTAGTCTAGAATATTGAGTTTTCCTGCAGACATTACACATGGATCACTTAAATATCATCAGTGTATACAGGAGAATCAAATGCACCTCCTCGAAATGTTGTCACTGTTTAAAAAAAATAAAAGTGTATGCAAACACATGGAAGGAAGCCCAGCTAACTTCCTCAGAGCTGTACCATTTCCAGTGGATGGGAGAAACAAGCTCTTAAGTATTTTCTCAATGTCTTCCTTTTTGTCAAGAACTGTAGAAGTTCTGTGTGAAGTGTCTGAAGTACGGAAAAGTCTTGCTGACAACTCCATGCCAGGGGAACATGTGGGAAACATAAATGAGTGCTTCACTGTCTACTTACCTAAGGGGAAGGGGATTATTATGGTAAATACTGTCAAGCTGCAGCAACACTAACATCAAAAAAAAACAGAGCTATTCTGCCAGTGAACAAGTACTATCTCCTGTTCAGACAACATCCTGAGAGCTGGCTGAAGGGACATGTCTTTTCTGCAGCCCTCAGCTGGGCACGGGCACCTGTGCTGCTCACCCACTGTTAGCTACACTTGGTCTGAGTTGCCTCCCCCTCAGCTGTGAGGGCTTCAGGGGCCAAATGACATTGTTCCCTGTGCTTTTCCCAGGGAACAGCTCATCCTCAGCACCAAGAGCAACTGTGGAACTATAACAGAGGGCTACTGACATGTCAGTGATTTGGCAGCCTCAGGGAAAGCAGCAAAGCTGCAACTTAGAGAAAGGAAGGGCAGAGGGACTAGCGCTTTGGCCTCCTGACTTTAATCTGTCACCTCTCAGGACCTGACCTTTCCAGATGTGAGTGCTGCCTAGCCCTCTTCTCAGCATGCCTGTGGATCTGGGATCACAACCAGGCCCAGGTGAAAGAAGAATGAGTGCCAGGTGCTAGGCTCCCTTCTGAATGGTGCTCCCAAGCTCTCTCAGCAACAGACACCACAGATGCGCAATTTTCTTAGCCTCATTTGCCGATGCAGTCAATTCCTTTGTCAATGAGATCAGTGCTAGTGGCTCAGCTCTCCAGGTGCTGGGTTGTAAACCAACCCCAGAGTGGCCATGCACTCTGCCTTGTCTAGCAGATTTCTCAGGCTCCAAAAATCACCTTAAACAGACATCGAAGCAGACATAGCAACAGGGAAAATATATGTCTTCCCCAACTTCTCACAGTATTATTTCCAGCCTAGAATATTTCTTGAGACTGTTGTGATAAACTTTGTTTAGAGATCCACAGATCTCTTCTGGTTATCTGTCCAGTCTCCCTTTGAGCCCATATAAACTTCTTGCACCTACATCATCCCATTGCAAAGAGTTCTGCAGGTACTAAACTTGCTGCAGCAGAATTTACTTCCTGCTCTGTTTCAAGGGCTCCCATCAACTGCAAGGAATGACTGCCTGGATAAAGAAAACCCACGGAATTTCTTTTGCTGCAAGAGATACCGTGACCTTTGCCAAGCCATGGTTTGGTCAGTCCCCACCACAATTCCCCAAACTACTTCTTTATCAGGGCCTACTCACTTATTTCTTGTAAAAAAAGCAAATAAAGGTTTTTCACTCACCACCCTTGTTGTTATTTTCTGAATCTTTTTCCAGTTCTACCCCAGAACTATCAGCCCTCCTGTTTCATTAAATCATGAATACATAACCAATCATGAATACAGAACCATTGTCAGCAAGCAGCAATTATTCTGGTGCTTTTTCAGTGGAACATAATATTTCAGTATGGAAGAGATGCAACTCTCCACTCTACAGTCACAGGTGTTCTTACCAGTAATTCTGTTCACCTTCTTTTTGGTCAGATTCCCAGCAATCCCAGCAGCATGGGCACCTAGACTGTACCCCAGCAAGTGGAGATTGTTGAGAGGATAATTGAATTGCTCCTGCAGAAGAGAACAATTTGTTTAAAGTTTGAAACCAAGCACAAAAAACATAAGAAGACATAAAATAAACGCTATACAATTATCATAATTTTGTGCCATTGTAGATTTATTAATCTAACTAATTTATGGCCAAAATCAAAACTGAGAGAAATGCAAAATAAAGGACAGAACACAGGGTTGTTTATTTCATAAAGGTTTTCAGCCACCCTCTGCCCACAAATTTCTGGATCTCCTAAGGCAAGGCACATTTCCGATTCCTAAGGACTGGCTTCTGTATAATATATATAGGAACCTGTCTTTCATAGCCACCTCTCACAGAGCCCTCAGAAATACTCTGGGGCCACAGGACCCCACAGACTACAAGGTATAGTCTCTGGAATGCAGTACAAAAGGCCTCTGAGTAGGAGATAGACCAAAGCCAGAATTTTACCAGTCCAGCAAAACTACTCTCTGCAGGAGTTTAACTTCATCTACCCAACAGGAGATGATTAATATAGCTGCATCATTGCTGTTTTGTCTCCTGTGACATTAGGTAGAATATGAGACATGTCTCCATGTCTTACCTCCATCCAGTCAATAAACGTAGCAACATCCTTTCCCACCAGCCTGGTGTACGCAGCCGACACCGGGTAGTGCTGCTGAGCTCGAACTAGCCAGTCCACCACAATGACGTTTGAGTCAGGCTCCCTCTTGTACAGAGCATCCACCAGCTTCGGGACCCAACTTTCATACATCCCTGTCACCTGTTGGTTTTGGTGATTTTAATTAAAATAGGAGATATATTAATACATCTGTGAGACGCTTCTGCACAGTTTATCAGAAGTGTGGCTAAAAGGGAGATTCCTCCCACTTTGTCTTACCGTCCACCCGTGGATCACCACAAAGGTTTTACTGGTATGATTAAAGTTGCACTGTGCCAGGCTGTTCACCTGCCCAGGAACCAGGTAGCAGACATCCTCATCAGGCTCTGCAGGCGTCCGTAAGGAAAACTTGCTCTCGATTCCCTCAAAATTGTTTTTGCCTTCTGCTATAAGAGCACAAAAAACATATAGCAGTGTTTTAGAACTAGGACAGAGTCAGAAGGCACAGATGCAATGTTGGAGAGATTCTGAAACAGTCATGAAAGGGGATGGGTGGTTTTCATTTCCTACAGCACTCAATGGACACACAACAGTCGTGTAAAGAGGAAATCAAATGGTGAAAATTGCTCCCCTTCAAAGGTCCTGCTAAAGCAGTAAGAATCTGCTGAGCTGTCAGAGAGGTATGAACACATTTTGAGAGTCAGTATTTTCCCCATTACATTAAGCAGAAAACCTCTTAAGTATCACAAGAGTAGAGAAAACTGCACACGACAGTCATAGACCATCATCCAGGAAAGCAGAGTTACCACCACACTATTACATATTTTGGTGGTGTACTTTCCACATCACCTCACCAATAATCACTGCCTAACAAGGTTTTTTATAACTCCATGTAGTTGCAGTGCATTAAAAGCTGTGAAGTGACCACTGTTTTACAAAATACTAGTTTTAAGTTTTGACCAACAAGCAGCAGGTGAAGAAATCAGACACCCATCACAGAAACTGAACTAGCAAACCAGCAGTCTATTTTGGAGTACATTTTCAGGTCATCTGATAACCTACAGAAAAATATCTTCCTCTGCCTGAAGCAGAGGGAAGGAGGGTGGGGAAGGAGGTGCTGCTCTTGGCATGCTGCTAACAAAGTATGCTGTGGCCTGCAAAGATCACTCCCTCCAAATTCCAGCTTCAAAATTTAAGTACTCCTTTTCCTGTCAAGACATAGAAGTGACTTTAGGCTTCATACTCACCATTTCCTTTGGGAAGAAACTTAAATGTCTCCTCTTTTTATGTCTGACTCAACTCCTAAATGTCTCTATGCACAGCACACCCTGTAATCAACTTTTCAAAACCCAGGCCCCGTTTGGCAACTTGAGTTAGGCAAATATTGATTGCCTGTTTTTCAAGTGCAGCTGAACTTAGGCCAGCTCTGTCCTGCTCAGCATTGTCTTTCCTGGCATCAAGACCACCAGCCTTTCACAAACTCCTAAACACACATTAATTAATGGCTCCGAGCCACCATAGGGAACACAAATGGACAAGATAAGGACCTTATGCTAGGCATGCAAAACAGATTTCCACTCCCTTTTCCCATTGCAGAAGAGGTTTTCTATGATAATTGGTAGATTTGCATTTCCTGCATACAGTTGTGCTGCATTGCTCAGGTGATAAATAACTAACAATTCATTTTTTTCTAAAACAGTTTTTCTAGTCTTCTCATTCAAGCTACCATACACAACAGGGTACTGACTTATGCCTGACCTCACCTCAGAGAGCTCTAAAAAGTCTGGGAAGTTCTTGCTATGCTTGGAGGGTCACAAGAAATCAGGGTCTAACCTCCCTCATCATGTCTAAAACCCGCACAGAGCCTTGCAACAAATGCTTATGTAGCAGTCTCAGAGAAACTTGTCAGCCATAATCAATGGCTTAAAATTGCCCAAGTTCAGCAGGATTTCACACCTGTCAAAGCACATGCAGGAAAGCAAGAACCATTCACTGAACAGAGGCAGTACTCAGCTTTAGGCTTTGACCTTGACTGTGCTAGGCTGGCTAGCTTATCCAGGATAATTACACTGAGGTGCCCCTTCCTGCCTCCCTCCTCCCAAATAAAGGTGTTTTTCATAGCCCTTACCCGTCCTTACACCAGTACGAGCATTCACATAATCGTAAATATAACATTTTACCTACAAATGAAAGCTAAATTTATTTTTATTTTTAAAACTATGTGCAAGCCAAATGTTTGCACTTTTTCTCTATTTCTGCATGTTCAAAATTTCTTTTTGTCACCAACTGAAAGTATAAAACACTTTTTTGAAAAAAAAAAAATCCTTAGACCTATATTATTTACTTTTTAGCCAGAAAAAGAAAAGTCCCAAAGGCTGGTTGGTTAAATATGAGCTATAACTATTCACTCAGCTGTGAATCAGTAAAACCTTGAAAGGAACAAGAACAGCTTTCAATTGTAAGGCATACAATGCTAGGACTTTCAATTATGTATATTCCCTCCTAGTACAGGAAGGCGAAAAAGAATAGTCCACCTGCTCACTAGTTAATAGTGCTTCCTTTCATACCTAGATATCATTTCCCTTCTGGATTAAATTTATCTGATAATCATCCAAAATCTAAATTACACTGATATCCTGTCTTGTAGTGTGTTTTCAATTACAAACACATGCTAGAATTTGCATGTAAGTTCAGACCACAGCTCTTTTGAAAACAAGCTCACAGGAAATTTACAATTCAAAGTGTACACTCGGAAAAGTGCACAAAGCTTAGGAAGATTGCAGTACCGTGGCACCTGCCACTGAAGATGTGCTAAGTGCTTCACACATATTTGCGTGTTTTAATCTAAAAATCTTTGATGGGGATTTGAGAAGAAAATCACTGAGATACAGTCACCACCATGAAAGAAGCAGCTGCAAGGCAACAGCCCATGAGTTAGGGAAATGGCAGGCTGCCACTTTTCTCATTTAACTACGTTGTATGAGGATTAGAAAGTCAGAAGAAATTACTCTTATCATCTTATGCCCACAAAAAGTGTCATGTTATCTTATGTCCACATATGGTCAGTTCCCAGCAGGCAAGATACCCTTTGGATGAGGGAAGCGTGCGTGTTGTGGAGTTTATTACAGACTCCTTCACGGTGTGCTCATCAAGAAGCTTTCCTCAGAATTTGCCTAAGCTTGGCTTTGCAAAAATTCCATACAGCTCTGAGCAAAGATATTTTGTCTACACCTAATATTGTGCTGCACACATGCTGCAGTACCCCCTCACATCCCAGCTTCTGCAGAATACAGGAACACACAGTCTGTACACACTCACGACACAGAACAGCACCTACATCTACCATGCTTTAAACCTGGAGAGTTCAGCATATCACTTCTGCTTTCATACCTCATTGTATTTCTTTGTCTATTAAAAAAACTATTCAGAACCAAACTTTGCCTTTCATAGACTTTTGCCACAGACCTTTTCCTCTGAGATTTAAAGGAAGAAATCTCCTTGAATCATGTCCTGAGCCAGTGAATCATTGGGCCTCATTCTTACAGTCTCACACAAAGAAGTGCAAAGACAGCCAATGTACACACTCACCACAGTTTAGTTAATAAGATGTTGTAACTCAAGTTAATTAAATCGCAGAAGACCCCAAAATAGGTAGTTTTCAGCATGTTTCTGAAAGGTAGACAGAAATTTATCTGAATTAAGACTGCATTTTTCATAATATAGATACAGAAATTAGATATCAAGAAATATACATACATCCATGTTGAGATACTGAGGTAGCTTTTTATGACAAGAATGCAAGACCCATTTCTAAACAAGGCCTTTGAATAAAACAGACTGGAAGTAAACACACGCAGACAAAAAAGAAATCCATGTTTTTGCTAAAAACTGCTTTTTCCCAGACATAGTTCAGCAAAGGTACAAAGGCATGTGTTGTATATTACCAAAGATTCCAGGCACACAGTTACAAATATAAGCACCTGTTGCAAAATAAAGTTTTCTGTCTACTGCTATGTGCTCACGGTTAGCATGACCTACAAAGGGATTTATTTAGGGAACTAAAGCAGAATTAAGAATTAAATTACCAATTCCAGATAGAAGCTGGCTTTTCAGGCTACATCACCAAATCTTAACCATTTTGTCATGCTACACAAAGTTTTCTGATGCTTTTCTTACACCCCTACTTGCAGAATATGAGTTTCCATACTAAAAAAATTTAAAAAAAAATTAAAAAAGTGTCTTAGCTTACAAACTGGGAAGTCAGTAGTTTTGTTTTCCTGTCCAAAGTTTGTGACACTTTGGACTTGTAACTCATGAAATTCCGTTCAGTTAGGGACTCCTATCAATTATCAATTTTGAAAGCATCCCACTGACTTTAGGCATTCTGACACACCAATGAAGAGAATTCAGTCTCAAGTTTCTTTCACAGGAAGCCCAGGATAACTTGGCTGGATTGTGAAACTGTTTACCACTGGTCAGCTGGGTGGAGAATGTGAGCCTTGAGGAAGCAACAACATCTGGAATATTAATCAAAAGTTAGACTGCTCACATCACACAGGTTGCCAAAATATGATAACAATGCATTTGCCAGAATGAGTGCACCTAAGCTATGGTTTTAAAAATGGAATCTTTGATAAACAACAATTTCCTAGCATTATGCACTCAGAAATGGAAATAGGATTATCTGGGTGCAAAGATCCTAGAAATTATACTGCTAGGCTGCATCTTCTATAGCCCACAGAGACACGCATGCACACGCATGCACAGCAGCAAACATCTGCACATAACATCAAACATTTACCAGCTGTAGTTAACTGGCCTAAATCTTCCCTCAGCTGACAGTCAGCATTATGAACAGGCATCAATCAGTCATACTGAATTCCTAAGAGTTCTGAAGCTACCTCACAGCCAGCTGTAGCAAAGGGTCTCTATCACAGAAACAGTTATCATTTAATTTGATCTACACTACAAACTGAAAGCAGAGTACTGTGTGTTGCAATCCCAGGAAACCTACCTCACGAGTCAGGTTATTGTTTAACCTTGCTGCAAAAACATTACAACTTCATGTTTATTTATGTATTCCTCAAAGGCAGAGCCCTGAGAGTACGTTCTGCTTCACTTCCCAAGTGGGGCCAATGGAAAGAGCAACACCTTTGGAAAGCTACTGGGCATAAGTTCAGAAACTAAGTAAGAAGCTCAAGTTTTGCAGCTGGCAAACTGCTGTTCTCTCACTGTACACAGGGGTGCCCACCCCTCTCCATGGTACTCCCTGACAAATCTTTACTCAGTGCAGCTGGGACACTCGCTGGGACACTTCAATCCAGCAGACATCTAGCCATCCTCAGTCCCTCTGGAATATCTGCAATTAGCTGAAGACAAAATGCAACCACTGTCAGACTTTGCAGTAACACAGAGGTAAGGATGCATGAGAAAGTCCTATCATGCAAGTACTTCTGCACAGAGGAGATTCCAGCAAACTTTTAGGAGTGCTGGTGATCATGCTAATCTCCAGCACAACTTTAGGCCTGAGAGCCTCACCTCTGTGCCTTCTCAGAAATGCATTGTTTCTCAAAAGGCCATGCCACAGCTGCCCTGGTATATCTATCCCAAACACAAACCATAGAAAAAGCCAGCACCCACCACACAACAGTGTAAATATGCTGACTCTGGATTTACACTGGTAAAAATAAGGATCTAGATGTATTTCTAGCAATGTTTTTATCTTTTCCTGCAACACCAATGTTTTCTTCATCTAGAAAGTCTTTTTCGATGTTGTTTTTTAAATACTCTGGATTCTTGGAGGGCTGGATCATGTGTTTTCTGTGGTTTCAAAAAACTTTTTACTGTGGTGTGCATGGAAAAGTGCAGAACTAAAGGCTTGAATTTCTTTAGGATGAGCACACAACCTGCTTTCATATAACCTATTCCTAAGAAGAAATAATGAAATTATTGGCAAGTCTGTGGCAAATCAGTTCCTGCAGGGATGAAAGCTTTCTCCGAGAAGGCAGTTATTTTATTGTATAGAACTTGGATACTGTGATGAAAATTCATTTTGATTGTTTCTGATGGCACAATATTGGATTCAAAGCTAGAATACATTCCTTTCTCTGTACCCTAGCACCCCATCCTCTTACTTTTGAATACTTCCCTTCAGCTTACTTGTACACAAAGAAGTAACAAAGGCACCCACAGCAGAAAAAAATGGCAGTTTATATATTCCAGTTTAGGATCACAAAGCAGCTCTAGGAGCAACAGCCACCCTTCCTTCTAAGGCCAGAAACTTTTAAAGATAGATACTATGTGTGGAGATCAGTATAAGAAAGTACACCTATGACAGGGCACTGCTAACAATATTTTAAGACTATTTTTTTAAGCTTAAGGAGTAGTGGTCTCCTAAAGCTAGTAGATTTGTTCATAACAGCTTCAATTACATTGTGATTAATTGAGAGAGCATTAGTAAAAATCTAGCACCCTTTGCACATCTTCCACTTCCTGTAGCTTGGACATGATGTCTATGCAGAAATGCAAGTACAACAGGCAGAGTGTAAACACAGCCATAAGTGAGCCCAGAGAAAGTAAATCACTCTCTTCACTTTTCCCCTAGTGGATCCTGCTCATTACAGGCTTAACTACAGCTCGAACATGTTACCACGAATAACTACAAAACTCAGCCTTGCCTTGTCTAGGATCAAGAACTGTACGAAGCTGGGATGCTGGGATGGATGAGTCCCACAGAGGAGGGAGCCGAGGGACCTTACCGTGGTGCTACTGCTGTGCAAATCCCTTGCTCTGTGGCAAGGGACTCTCGGAAGCCACCTTGTCTCTGGAAAAAAACACATCCCAAACCTCAACAGGTCGCGCCACCAGCCCGGCAGGTTGTGCCTGAGTTTCGGCTGGGGAACAGGCTCCAGGTCGCTCCTAACAGGATGGAGGTTTCCCCCAGAGTCGCTCTCCAGCGCCTTCCAAGCCCACTCCGCGACACCAGGTCCCTCAGCATCCCAAGCTCCCCGCGACAGCTCCACAAAGGAAAGATTGCAAACTCCCATTTCCCGCCACGCCGGCAGCGCTTCCCCCAAGCCCGCATTCCCAAAAGCAACAGGCGGGCCAGCAGCTCCCGCGCAGCCCGTGTCCCGGGACTCACCGCCGAGAGCGGGCACGCAGCGCAGGCAGAGGCACACGGCGGCCAGGAACGCCTTCCTCCACATCTCGCCTCCTGCCGCGGGCACGAAACTTTCGGCGCGAAAAGAAAAACAAACAAAAAAAAAATTAAAAATGTAAAAGTAAGTACGTTTTTTTGCTCTAAAAACTTACGAGAACTAAAAGAGAAGTGCGGCGCCGAAGCGCAGATATGGACAGGGCAGCCCGGGGAGCGCCCAGCACCGCCGACACCGCGCCCGCCCGCCCTTATGACCCGGGCAATATGCAAATATGTAAATAAATATGCAAATATGCAAACGACTCTGCGCGCCCATTGGGCGAGCGCCGAGGGGCGGGGCGGGGCCGGTACTGCCCGGGCCGGGCGGGGCGCGGGGCGGGCTCGGGTTCGGGTTTGGGCTCGGGTTCGGGGTCGGGTTCGGGTTCGGGTTCGGGCTCGGGCTCGGGCTCGGCGCTCCCGCGGGGCGCGGGATGGAGCGCAGCGCAGTGGGGCTGGATGGAACGGCACGGCCCGGCTCGGCACGGCGTGCATAGAGCCCTTGGTTCCAAGCTCTCCTTGGGCCTGGCTCCCACAGCCCTCCCAGAGCCCTCTGGCCAGCCCTGTCCCAGGACGCGGCACCTAGGTCCTTACTGCCTGTGGCGACCTAGCTCTGCTATGCCTCTGGTGGGGTCTTCCTTGCCATTCCTGCTTTTGCACCAGTAACCAGCAGCTAACTGCATTTTCTGTACAGTGCTTGCAAGGGGCCTTCTGCTGTTCCCTTGAAAAATCTTTGCCAAGACCTTGTTTTGCCAGCACTCAAGGGGATACAAGTTTGGAGAAAAAATTAATTTACTGGAGATTGCATCTGTGCTCCTGAGAAATAAAAAATTGATTCCTTGAGATTTTCAACTCTCTCTGCCCTCCTCTCAGAAATGTGCACTGAGATCTGCGTTGGCAGCCACTGGGTGAAAGATCAGTTATGTAAGGACATTAATTTAATAACAATACCAGTTTTCATTTCATTGTACAGTTTGTTGCCAAAGGCGCAGCTTCATAAAGAAGCTTATTACACAGGGAATGAGGACTCCCTGGGTTTTGCAATGGGAAGCAAATGGGATTCACCTTAAGGGTAACAGTTCTTTCTCACACCTTAGGAGAATAAAACATATCTAGTTTATATTAGTGAGATTGTTCAATAAGAGATTGCTGAATTGTAGAGGTAGTACTGGGTCGCCTTTCCAATTTTAGGTTCCGCTAAAAGACCAGTAAGATCTATAAGTGAGAATACATTTTCCCCCAAGACACAACTAGAGTTTCCTCCATCAGCAATCCCTATTTATATCCAAAAGGCACCAGAAGAATTTAGTGAGGATACAAACTGTTCATGCTGAGACTTTTCGAGACAACTGAGTGGCAGGAAGAGGAGGGGGTTAGCACAGTGAGTGAGGCAGGGAGAGAGGCAGGGAGAGAGGATGGGAATTGGGGATTGGAGATGAAGAGGCAGGAGAGACCAGCCTTCCTCCCCAGAGGATGGTGATGATGTGAGCAGGGAAAAATATGATTTATGCTGCAGCTTGCTAAGTACTGAGCATATCCTCTGACACACAGTGTTTGAGACCCTATTGTCAAAACTATAGCAAGAACTTTTTCATGTCTTTCTTTTCCTCAAGTGTGGACTAAACAATGCATTTCTCTTGATCTAATTTGGTTGAAACTCTATAGCACAATTTCCTCCTTAGAAATCAGCCTGACTCTATCTCAGATCCTTCCTAGTAAATTTCATTCCCTGATGGCAGCGTAAGGCAAACTAAAAGAACAAACACTTTGAGGCAGGCTGCTGTTAGGAAGACTGTAAGGTCACCCTAATCACAGGTGATGCTACCTACCTACCCAGCAGAGCAAAACAGAATATGAAGTCTCCCGATCTGCACAACTACATCCATGACTATTCCAGGAAAAAAACGGAAAAAAAAAAAAAAAAAAAAAAAATATTACATATTACATTAATTTTGTGGGGAAAGAAGTAGTGTAATTTATTTTAACTGCTTGTAGGATCAGGTAGAAAGGAGCAGTGGCAATGCTTGGCACACCAGCCCTGGATAGATTGCTGGCTCTGTCTGTAAATCCACGAGCTTTAATCAGACTTACTTAGAGTTAACTCCCAATATAGTGAAACCCATCAATAGCAAGGGCAGCAGCAGATTTACACAGAATGAAATCTAATTTGTTACACTGAAAAGGCTTGTTTGCATAATTTTTTCTTCATGCCCATGCCTCACTTTAAGACATAGTTACATATTTAAGAAAGGGTTATGCAAAATGTCCAACAAATTAAAAAAAAAAATTGAAAACAAGACCTTTCAAGTGATAAAAGATGGGGGAAGGGGTTAATTCTAACTTCTTGGATCTTGAACAAATTGCCTAAGTCTGTTGTAAATTCAGATGTAAAATAATCTGAAATAGATGGAACACAGCACATTTTCCAACATTTAATAAATAACTATTTTTCCCTTGCAGATAATCACGATTAGCTGGAAAAGAAGCTTCATGGCATCAACTCAAGGTCCTTCAGTGCCATCATTAACTGGACTTGAGTTCCTTTTCCTCTGTGAAATACATAATCCCAGATGGGAAAGCAAAGCTTCGTCTGTAAAACGGAGCTTGATTTATAGTATTCATGGACTCCAAAGTGGGTAGAAGGTACTATAGTGAGAGCTAAAACACATTCCTTCTAATAAGGACTGGGGAAAGCCTGGACAGTGAAGAGAGAAGTTGCATAACTAGACTGGTACTTGCCCCTACAGACCATGTAGAAGGTTAAAGTGAAAACAAGCCCAGAAGTGTCTCCAACACAACATGGGCAGCATTGTGGGGCAGCTGTGCCAAACCCCCAGCAAACTCACTGGCCTCACACAACAACAGGCAAGGGGAGAACCAACCAGAAAATTTCATTTCCACAACAGTGCTCCAAAGACAGCTTGAAGCACGGTGAGAAGGGAAGGGGGCTGACACAATGTGAGACTTTGAATGTTTTTGTACAGCTTTCACATAAAAGATTTTATAACTGAGGGTGAGAAGTCTTCCAACAAAAGAATCTGCTTAGAAACAAGCAGAAAACATTCTGGTCTCCTTCTGACTAGGAAGTACAAGTAAGAAGACTTTTTTTTTTCTTTTTTTTTTATTTTCTTTTTTTTTCCTTTCTGTAAATATTTGAATTTTTTTCTTTCCCCACCCAGAAGAAAAACAGTGAAAATAAAGCCAAAACCTCAGCATAAGCTTCCACATTATTTCTGTACTAATAAGTTCAGAGAAACAAACAAAAAGGATCCTTTTCTCCTACTTTTGTTTTGTTCAAAGATATCTGTGAAATGTTTTTTTAAAATGTATTTTTCTAAAAATCAGCCATTTTCAATGAAACTCCAGTTTGAGAATGAAAAAAATTACTCTTCCCTGCTTGTTTCAATAACCACTAACTGGGCTACAGTTACTTTAAATGCAGCAGAAGTCCTCTTATCCTGAGCCTCTTTGCTTCAAGTAAGGAGCAACACAGCATCAAGACACCCAGGGGCTTGAGGGTGACTATTGAGCCTGTCCCACCTACACTCATCAGCAGGTCCTTTTTGTGACTCAATATTTGCCTGCTTTTCCACACTGCCACTGGTACCTTTCATTAGGGGCAGGGACAGGCAGGAGTGCAGGCAGGTGAGAGCTACAGAAGCACCAAAGCCTGTGTGTGGCGGTTATCCTGAATCTCCCTAAATGGGCAGATGGGGAAGACGGCAGCAGGAACAACCTGGGTGTCTGCTTAGGAACATAATATGTACGCCTTCACTGGCGCCTGTCAGTACATGGAAGAGCCCAGCTGAAGGCATAGAAATACAGGGAGCTATGCAGCAGCTGCAGCTCTCTCTGCAATAGACAGGACACCTGTTCCTCCTGCTAACTCTTCTGTTTTTCAGAGAGGATCTTCTAGTCTTTGGTGTCACATAGGAAACAAGAGGAGGCTTGTGTAAAACAGCTATTAGCTGTTATGTCTTGCCATATTTGTCCATTCTATTGCTGTGATATCACTTGCTGTTCTGTTCCCAGGTTGTCTTATCTCACAGACGAGGTCCTCTCACTGATTAGCACAAGGATTCATTCCTCTTCATCCCACTCCAGTGCACTATGAAAACTACTAATTCCTTTTTAAAAAATAGAGATATGGAATAGAGCAGGATGCCTTGCTCTGGTAGTGAGTTGCAGATCCGGTTGTGGAGTAACCTTGCGCTGTGATTTTCTCAACTGCTCTTTACTTAATTATCACACTAATTGCAGTGCCTGCCAAAGTCAGCTAGCTGTCTTGCCAGACACATCTTTCAAAACGCAATGCCAAGGGAGAGACATTCCAGCAGCCTGTTTGGGGTGGCGTGTAGGGGAGTGTAGTCCGAGTCCCCGATCCATTGGCCATGGGGCTGCTGTTCTGACCAGCTGTGGTCTCCCCTCACTGTTCCTCACGTGGCTCCCAAGCCCTGCCTGCAGTAGGTTAAAGATGACGTTGTCTGAAACTTTTGTGAGGTTACGAAAATGTGCAAGGGCATCGGGGAGAAGGAGAGAGAGAAGAGATTTTGCCCAACTAAAAGTGCTCAGTACTAGCAGTGCTCAGGTGTCTGTTAGGGCAGAAGCAAGTTCCTGCATTTTGCCAGCAGTGTGCCTAGTGGAGAGACTTCAGCATCCCCATTCTCTCATGTTCTTCTCCTGCAATTTGCTACATCTATATCTCTTACTCTGGGAAGAGAGCCTTCTCACTCAGGTCTCAGCCTGGCATTCTGTGTTCCTGCTTGCCAAGGGGAGAGTGAGTAGGATTAGAGAGCAATGCACAGCAACACCACCGTGGGAAAATGAATCTGTCATTTCAGTCGCAAGGAATGTATCAGGGAAGAGAATCCACTTCTCTGGCCTCTGGGCTATCCAACAAGGGAGAGAATAATTGCAGGCTCTCTGCTCTTCCTTTATTTCACTCTTCAAGGGTGACAGATGGTGTGTGGTGCAGCCAAGGCTGGATTCCAACTTGTATCTCCTTTGGTAGCTTGCAACTTACTGAGAACAGATTCATCCTTGGGCTGACATTTCCATCTCCTCCCAAAAGGGATTTGTTTTAATTTTCATTTAAAGTTTCAGCTGACTTAGCATTGCTTCTCTGGAATTTTGCAACTGGTAAGTAAAAACGCCCCCTTGGCCCAACACTGCTGCTGCGGACATCCAAGCCCAGAGC